GATATTTTAATGTGAGAATCGATTCTAGAACATAAATGATTGGTATCGGAGGAATCGATATTTCAGGATCGATCCACACATCACTACTAAAATGTGACATCGTCAGACTGCATGCCACCAATTGGCTGGTCAGTGCTGCCACTTGATGAGTCATGAGAGCATCTCATTCATGAAAAATCAAAACCACCATTTTTGAAACCCAGCAACAGTTGTAATGGAAAAAACTGTAATCTTAGACTATATTCTTATTTAAATACCTAACCATTATTAAAATAATGTGAACATCAGCACAGATCAAATCTAGTTTTGTTTAGTGCACCAATAATAGCTTTTTATTTTAGTTACCCACAACCACTGACTGTGGAAATGTAAATGCAACATAAAAAATGACTTAAGCAAGCATCATCTTCAAATGTAATATGAATCCCAAACTTGCACCTAGCTCTCGCAGGCTGCCATTTCTCTGCCCATTGGCACGAGAGTAGTACCCCTTCTAGCTGTATAATGGATTGGATTTATATAGCGCTTTTCAAGGTACCCAAAGCGCTTTACAATGCCACTATTCATTCACTCTCACATTCACACACTGGTGGAGCAAGCTACGGTTGTAGCCACAGCTGCCCTGGGGCAGACTGAAAGAAGCGAGGCTGCCATATTGCGCCATCAGCCCCTCTGGCCATCACTAGTAGCCAGTAGGGTAGGAGGAGGATATGTAGAAGGTTGGTGTGGGAGGGGGATGCTAGACATATGCCATGATGAGATGGAGCATGGTCATTCACTGTGGCAACCCGAAAGGGTGCAGCTGATGCAACATGGTTCTTTTGATTTGATGCTATACAACTGTAATTTGGCCGTAGAATTGCTCAATGACAAATGGTCAACCTGTCCTTGACTTAGTCTTACTATTGAGTTCTTAATGACAAATATTCTCGTATTGTAATATTTGTAATATTATTTGCTTGTGCGTTTGTCTTTCGTTATGTAAATGCCTCTATATGCTTGCTCCACAGAAAATGGCTAAACTGGAGATAGTTGTTTGTTTTGTTCTGTAACTGCCTTTGGGATTCACTGTTTTGTGGTAATTCATAAAGGGACTGTGGCAGTGTGCAAGGCACTTGTGAGGATGAAGCAGCAATTATGTATGCCTGGGCTCGAAATGCACCACCTACCAAATTACCCAAAGGTACGTCTATGACTTTTTCTGTATTGAACTGCTGCAGTGAAAGAGGGTGGAGTTTTATTTTTGGACATTTATGTTAAAAGAAGAATCTGTAGGTTTTATGTATATTGTTATGTAGTGTATGCTACTCATTTTTTTCCCTCTTCTTCTTTTACTGTTTATATTCATGAGGTCTTATGTCCATTGTTAACCACTATTCTCTGTATTTTATCAGATGTTGGCTTTAAAGTTGGAAGAAGTTCAGGAATGTCCTACTTTGTACTGCAGATTCATTACGGAGATATTAGTGCTTTCAAAGGTGAGTCCTTTTGAAACATAAATATAATGTAATAAAAAAAATATTATGTGCTCAAATTAAGCAGCTCAAATTAAAGCAGCAGTAATTCAGTAAAAATCTGGAAAGATCCAAAGAGTTTGAAAAGTAATTTTAAATACTACACTAAGACCATTAACCTCTGAAATAAAATGTTGCAATCTTTTATACCAAGTGCAATAACTTCGTCTAGTGTAGCAAGTATATATCATTTCTGATATTTCTTTTTTTTCTTTTCTTTTTTTTTTTATTGAGCATCAACAATGTAGTACAAAGACATAGATATAGCAAGGCCACAATGCTCCTTTTTATATATTTACTCCACCCCAAGAACATATTGGACACTGATCCAGAAGGAGAAAGAAATTAAAATAAATAAATGAATAAAGTGAATTTAAATGAGATACAAGGAAGTTCACCATTTTTGAAGATGTGCACTTAAAGGGGAATAGTTTACACAAAATGAATCCCAATCACACAGAAAAAAAAAGGATTTACGGCAGCTGTCAAGCATCATTCAGGTGGATATGGTTTTAATTTTCTCTAAATGTTTTAGCAATGTATCCCAAACAGCAAAGAATCTCTCCTTCGACCCCTTGAGAGCATACTTTATCTTTTCCAACTGTATAAATTGTGTCAGGTCACTAAACCACAAAGCCGCTTTGGGTGGCTTTTTTGACTTCCAATGCAACAGTATCTGTCACAATCAGCAGGGCTGACTGTGTGTAGAGTGAAAGGTGGACCCAAATGCAGACGGAAACGAAATGTGAAACATGACTTGAATAACAGAAAACGAGCCGTTTATTGAGGCTGGCAAAATAACTGTAAACAAAAGGCAAAATGCAAGGCTAACAATAAACTAAACTGGGTGAGCTAAATTAACTAAAAACCTACAACAGGAACGTGGACTTGACATGAGGAAACTTGACACAACTTCTTGGCTTGCAAACAAAGCAGACGATCTGACAATGACACACAGAAAACAGAAGACTTAAATACACAGGAGGTGATTAGGGGAAGTGGGAACACATGGAGGAACTGACTGAGGACTGACATGAGCCTAATGACAGGACGGGAAGTGAAACTAAATACAATGAACAAAGAACACACGACTCCTTCAAAATAAAACAGGAAACACTGAAACTAGACATGACAACACAAGCTTAACAGACCTAACACGTGATGAACGATACAAGAACTCAAACATAGAAACCAAGGAAACAATAAATAATAACTGCCTTTCCTTAACTAAAGCTAAATAGGAATGACACATAAACTAATCACAAATCTAAAGTGAGACAAATACAAAATGAACTCAGAGCGCTGGGTCAGAGACCCAGGCTGTGACAGTATCCTTCTGCGTGCAAGAAGTGTAGTGAAAGCGATTATGTTTTTATGACTCTTCCTTAGTGTTCTATATCCTCTCTCTGTGACACCAAATATGCCCATAACTGCATTGGGTTGAAGCTCAACATTCAATGCCTCGGACAATGTTTTGAAAATTGTTGACCAGTAGGCTTTTAAAGTTGGACATGACCAAAACATATGTGTTAAATCGGCAGAGGGATTTCTACATCTCTCACAGCTTGCATCTATGTTTGGAAATATTTTGGTTAGTCTTGCCTTGGAGTAATGAATGCGGTGTAGAATCTTGAACTGTATGATGTTTAATTTGGCACAGAAAGTGCTGTTGTTTACTCTTAAAAGGGCACTCTCCCAGGTCTCCTCCTTCAAAACCATCCCCAGCTCATTCTCCCAGTCTGCTTTGATTTTTGGCATTGTTATATTCTGAAAGGAGGCTATACAATTACTAATTCTTGAGATTAGGCCTTTAGGCTTAAATGTCAGTTTCAACAGATAATCTAGAGCAGTAAGTGGAGTTATATTTGGAAAGTCAGGGTTGTGATGCTGAAGGAAGTGACGAACTTGGAAGTATCTAAATAAGCTGGGCCGAGGGAGGTCAAATTTGTGTGACAAATCCTGAAAATTTGCCAAGACACCGTCGATATACATGTCAGAAAACTTATGGAGGCCTCGTCTCTTCCAAAGAGCAAATTCAGAGTCTAATCTGGCAGGAAGGAAAAGGTGATTATTGTGTATAGGGGTTAAATGAAGAAGATTTTCAAACCCAAAGTTCTTTCGAAATTGAGCCCATATTCTGAGGGTGTTAATAACTATAAGACTGGTGGTGTGCTCCCGTGAGGAGATTGGAAGGCTCGAGGTGACCAAGGCTCTAAGAGAGGTGGCGATGCAAGATGCCGCTTCAATTTGGCACCAGTCTTCATCAGGGGTATTGAGCCAGTATATGATTTTTTTGAACATTTGAGGACCAATAGTAATGGCGGAAATTTGGAAGGCCTAAGACGCCTAGGTCTTTAGGCCTCTGTAACCGATCCAGGCATATTCTTGGTTTTTTCCCATCCCATATAAATGAGATGAGAGCTTTATCGATAGATTTAAAAAATGATTTTGGAAGGTAAAGTGGGATACACTGAAAAAGATAAAGAAATTTGGGGAGTATGTTCATTTTTATACAATTTACCTTCCCTGCCAACGACAAATGAAGTGGCTTCCATTTCTTTAAGTCTGATTTGACCTTTTCAAATAACGGACAGAAATTTTTTTCATAGAGATTATGCAGATCTCTTGTTATATTTATGCCTAGGTATTTGAAGCCATTTTTGGCTGTTTTGAAAGGTGCAGCACTATTCTGTATTTGAAGAGCCAGATCGTTAACAGGATAACATTCGCTTTTACTGAAGTTCAGTTTGTACCCAGAGAAGGAGCCAAAGCTGCTTAAGGTGTGAATAATATTGGGGACAGATGAAACAGGATCAGATACATACATTAACAGGTCATCTGCATAAAGGGACCCATCCTATGGATACCCGCAATTGATGGCAAGGTTTTGAGTGTAATAGAGAGGGGCTCTATGGCCAGGGCGAATAACAATGGACTGATTGGACAGCCCTGACGGGTACCCCTTGTCAACTTAAAATAACGTGAACATTTACCATTTATGATTATAGAGGCTTTGGGTGAAGTATATAAAAGTCATTTCTGATATTTCTAACATTAGTTTTCTGTTGTTTTTCAACCAAACACACAGTTGTAGGTTCTCTACATTTAACCTTTGGTGAATCTCTCAAACCTAAATACAGTATTGTACAAAAGTCTTGAGTCACCAGTCATATCTTAATATTTTGCTAGGAAATGGGAAGTAGGTGCACAAAACACTGTTTTGTGCTGCCTGTCTGCTGACGGCCTCCTATAACATGCTTCAGCTTCACTCTACATGGATGCCTTTACCTTTCTGCACGCCTTCCTATCTGAAGAACTATAAAATTTTCCTACTTGTATAGTTAAATAAATATCTACTATATTACCCAAAATGATTTATCATTAGTGGACAATGACAGTAGGTGCAGGATTTTTTTTAGAACCATTCCTTTAGCAAAAGAAGCAAGGAAACACTTCACTACACATAACACTTCATTACTGGCAAATTGTACATAAATTATCAAAAATAAAAATATTATTCTGCACAAAAGTGTTCCCCATGGATTAACATTTCTCCTCAACATGTTTAGGACTGAGCTTAAACATTTCATACTTTGTTTAATTTACAGTAAATGCATCAGATTGTATAAAATATGTCATGAGAGGACCACATATCTTTTGGGGGGGAAAATCAGCTGTTAAGAACTTAGAAAAACAGATTTAAAAAAAAGTATTAAAATATACAGTTTATAAAGTTTTTATATCTACAAGAGACAAGGCAAAACTGTTGGTTAAACAGTGCACATTTGCTCAACCAAGTGATTTCTCAGAGATGCTATTCTTAAAGTTTTAGCTGAGCTTCCACTTGCCAGTTTTATTAAACTGGATTTGACACCTTCTCTTCTTTATGAAGGCTTTCCTTGCTAACTTGCTAAAGGAGTTATTACAAACTTTCACGCACTACAGTCCATCTTCTCTATATCACACAAGTTGTATCTAACTTGGGTACCACCTAAATTTGGTAAAAGTGTGTCAACTTTCTTGAACACTGGCCTTCACCTATTAGCCTCTGGCCTTCTAGCCTGGGCTTATCAATTTGAGCTAACCAAGCAAGCCAAGGAAACTGCTGTTCTGTGTCAAATCAAATCAAATCAAATCAATTTATTTATATAGCACTTTTCACAGGATAAAAACCACAAAGTGCTTCACAGTAATATAAAACAGAAATACATAAAATACATTAATAATAAAACACAGCAAAAATCTAATTAAAAGCCAATCTAAATAAATGAGTCTTAAGCTGCTTTTTAAAA